GAAGGAGAGGAGAAAGAGGAAGGTAACGTATGGATGGGAGGTTGGGAGGGGTGGGTTGGGAGTAAAAGGGAATGGGTAGACAGTGAGACAAGAACCATCTTATATTATCTTATCTTACAACATTTACTGGTACAGTTGTTATGTCATCTCACCTCACCTCTTCTTCTCTGACAATATAGGTCGCTTTTGAGGACAAGCGGGCTAACCCAGATTTCGGGGGTTTCCAGAAATCTTGACCTTCACCAAAAGTGGGCGTTGCCCTACCTATAGGAGAAGTTTGGTTTCATTGGTGTGTTTTTTTTTTGGTTAGAGAGAAAACTCTCCTTGTCTTTTAAGGAAAATTTTACCTTCGATTTTCTCAAAACAGCATTTTTCGGGATAACCGCCTTGTGCTTCAAAGCGACAATTTACCACCGTACAATTCTCTCGTATGACGTCACGCCATGTTTACCTGCGGTTGCCATGGCAAAGATGGGCGTCTTGGCTCTCTCTGCTTCCGGCACCGTCTGTTTGGCCAGGTCTAGGATAGGCCTGAGGTACTCCACCAGCTCGTCCCGCCCGCCCCCGAGTGTGGAGATCCCGGGTTTGAACTTTGTGCTCTGTACCAGGCGGACGGTGGGGAGTACACCCCTCTGCTCCGGCTCTCTCCATCTGGAAGTAAGGAGAAAAAATATAGCTGCAGGAGTAGCGATTTGCCAAATGATCCCAGAAGTTGGCCTGTGTCGAACTGAGATACAACTGGAAATATCTAAACACTAGCTGGGCCCAGTTTCAGTGAAAGGAATGGTCGGTGCATTAGTCTTGAGAGATGCAACAAAATAGAATATCGCGAAATATCACATCACTTCCGGCACTTCCGCTGTGAAGGACAGCTACGCCGATTTGTTTCGTTTCTCAGTGGAATAATCTCAAAGGCCACAGAAGGACGGGAACTTTTTGTCAAATATATTTGTCTAAATTCTGGAAATGAATAAATAAAAAATGGGCTCCGTCATGGGGACCTATCTATCTTTGTGCAGGTACTTGCCGCCAACTTTCAACTCTGTCGTAGTTTTATGGGAAAAGTGACACATGTGTTTCCAAGTTGCCAAATATACAATAGATTCTCTATTCCGCTTTCGTGGTTGTACACTCCAGAATTTCAAAGGTGTGGAACCAGTGCGCACGGCTAGTGAACGGAAACCTCACTTGTTTACAATCATCACGTAAACACCACATCACATTTCATAAACACCACATCACATTTCATAAACACCACATCACATTTCATAAACACCATAGTACACTTCATAAACACCACATCACATTTCATAAACACCACATCACATTTCATAAACACCATAGTACACTTTATAAACACCACATTACATTTCATAAACACCACATCACACTTCATAAACACATTACATTTCATAAACACCACATCACACTTCATAAACACATTACATTTCATAAACACCACATCACACTTCATAAACACATTACATTTCATAAACACCACATCACACTTCATAAACACATCACGTTTCATAAAGGCAATATAACTTTACATAAACACCACATCACATCACGTGGACACACAAAACAAACAACGATCACGTCACGTGACCAATTTACCTGTAAAGTTTCAGCTTGGTCCCTGTGCTTCCCAGATCTAAGAACACGCTGAAGTGCTCGGGGTTCGAACCCGATCCCCCCAGACTGGCAGTGTGTGCCATCACCACCAGCAGAGCTAAGCATGGGATCAGCTGTACTGTGTTCTCCATCATGGCAAGATGTCTCTGGTGTCTATGAAGTCAGTAAAACAACAACCCAACGTCATTTGTGAGGCATCGTGGTGAAATCAGGCACTCGTCAAAATCATGAAATCAAAGAAACAGGCATTTCGTTTGGGCCGACTGGCAATTTGTTTTCTAATTTTCTTTCTTTGGCTCAACACCTTTTACGTCCATAATTTGAAATCACATTTTTGAGTGGATTATCTTGATAAACGTTGATTGAAGGCACACAAAATGTAAATTGTCAGTTTCCAAGGACTCTTAAGCCATGGAAGTTACCAAATTTGGCAGCCACTTTACTTGTAAAACCAGGCAGCTCTGACCTCCTTCAATCGCAAATATCTCGACTTCTATTCGACAAAGATGGATTTAAAAAAACTAAAAGCAAGGCAAACGGACAAGCTTTAAGATGATACAATAACCTCATATGCCCGAACATTGACGAGCGCCTGATTCCACCATGTCGTGACACATTTCTAAAACCATCATTGCTCTCAGATCCTCCACAAACATCTAGAATTATCTTGAACATCTGAATATGTAACAGTTATGTGTAATAACAATTATGTACGTACATAATGTACTGGCTACAAGAATTCTGGAGTAAAAATGAATGTTAGTTTTGTTTTTAATTCAATAAAAGAAGTAAAATATTGTTTAGATGTAACAGGGACGGAACAATGAAATGATAAAAAGAAACGGACAATAAAAAAGGAAACCGATCGGTCCACGATTTCCTTTACACGATTTGGAATTGGTGCATTTTGCGTTTACGGGTGTTGGTTTTTTTAAAGCCATTTTCGTTTTCAAAAATACGTTTCATCTTTATGAAGGTTATGTCAAACTAATTCCTTTGAAATGAATAAGGACTGTTCCAAATTACAGCATTCTAGAACAATATTTGTGCTAGATATTCCCCCCAAAAAATTATAAAGTTGGTTGCTGTTGGTTTTTGAGTTTTTTTGTGGATCACCCTGTATATTCTCAGAAAAAAAACACACAAAAAAAAAACACCAGCAAAAAAACCCGGTTAAGCAGATGTCACATTTTCATTGTTAAAAAACAAAAGGAGATAGGACAAGAAAGCCCTGATGTCCAAAGACACACAATAATCACTGTGGTGGCAAAGACACACAAAGACACACAATAATCACTGTGGTGGCAGACACACAAAGACACACAATAATCACTGTGGTGGCAAAGACACACAAAGACACACAATAATCACTGTGGTGGCAAAGACACACAATAATCACTGTGGTGGCAAAGACACACAATGACGTGTCAGTACAGAACATAGCGCCCGTCACTGAGGGGAACACCCCGCCTCCTAAATGATCCAGCTTGTGTCGAAGGGAACGTAAAACTGTTACGGTAGCTTTTGGAGCGGGAGAGTCTGGTGGGCTCTGCTGCCTCCATCAAAAAAATAAATAAATGCTTAAATGAATACATGAATAAAAAAGAAATACATGTAAATGCAAAAATAGATAAACACTTACATGAATACAAAAATAAAAAAATAATACAAAAATTAATAAAATAATTACATGAGTACAGGAATACAAAAATATATGAATAAATGAATGAATCAGACTAACAGACTCAGAGACTCACAGATACACACACACACACACACACACACACACAAACACACACACACAGAGACACACACACACTAGCAGACTCATAAACATTCACACAATCATAGACACACAGACTCACAGACACACAGACACAGACATACTCACAGACACAGACACCCTCACAGACTCATATACTCACAGACCTTACCGTCGCTCTTGTTATGTTCGTTTTCCTGACGTGAGTGAGACCTGTGTGTATGTGCGTGTGAGAGAGAGGGGAGAGATAGAGAGGGGAGAGAGAGAGAGAGAGAGAGAGAGAGAGAGAGAGAGAGAGAGAGAGAGAGAGAGAGAAAGAAAGAGAGAAAGAGAGAGAGAGAGAGAAAGAAAGAGAGAGAGAGAGAGAGAGAGAGAGAGAGAGAGAGAGAGAGAGAGAGAGAGAGAGAGAGAGCCACCACAAAGGTCTAGCTCTGCCCACGGCATGCCCCCATCCATTCATTAGCCGACTGTGTGCGGCTATATAAGGCTGTAATTGACGCTAACTTATGTCGCCACAAATTGGTCGCTTTTAACCACAGGGGGGCTGTCCCGAAAAATACTGTTTTGAGAACATCGAAGGTAAAATATTTGCCCCTTGTTCAGTTTCTTTAAAAGACAAAGAAAGTTGGATGCTTTTTAAGCACAAGGGGGTTATCTAAAAAAAATTATTGTTCAGTTTCTTTAAAAGACAAGGCGAGTTTCTCTATAACCAAACAAATATACACACCAATGAAACCAAACTTCTCCTATAGGTAGGGCAATGCCCACTTTTGGTGTAGGTCAAGATTTCTGGAAACCCCCGAAATGTGGGTTAGCTGCTTGTCCTTACAAGCGACCATATTGCACACGTACAGAGATCTGTTGGTGGAAGCTGATCATGAAAGGGCAGGCCTTTGGCCACCACCAGGGACAAGTTCAAATGAGAAAAATGTTGCTGCCATAAAGATAAAACCACATCCCGACCACATCTGTAAATCAGTAAGACGGCACCCTTACACCTTCTTTGATTCCAAAAGTATGGATCATTTCACTCTTTTAGAGCATGATATCAATAGCATATTCATACCAGCTTTAACATACCAGTGCCAAACATGGTCTTTAAACAAGGCACAAGAAAGAAAAATCAATGCATGCGAAATGAGGTGTCTCCGCAAAATCATCAACGTCACCAGAAGAGTTTTATGGCACTTACAACACAGAAAGGAAACCATACGTCTACAAACTGGAATACCACCAGTAATAAAATTCATAGAGCGTCAAAGATTCAAATGGTCTAGCCCTCTAACCAGAGTGCCCCAGAAACAACTAGCGGCTAGAGCTTACAATACCCGAGAATCTGGCTTCAAATCAAGAGGAAGACCAAGAAAGACCTGGCTGGGTGGGGTTAAAAAGGTCCTGGAACAACATAACACATCTATCACAGATGCCACACACCTAGCACAGGACCGAAACCTGCACCTCCCCTCGACATCCTAAGAATACCAGAGGAAGAAAAAAAGTAAAAAGTAAGTGAGTATCAAGAAAGTAAAGATCTGAAGGGAGGGTAGTAGTACTTGGGCAATCTATTTCCTCTATGTCTGCCACACAAAACTGTATCATGTATACTACTGTAAGATCTACTTCCTTTATGTCTACCACACAAAGCTGTATCATGTACATTACTGTAAGATCTATTTCCTCTATGTCTGCCACACAAAACTGCATCATGTATACTGCTGTAAGATCTACTTCC